TGTGGATAACAGTTTGGGTGTATGGTGGGTAGCTGGTAGTTGAGTGGATGGGCATTGGCTGCTGGGCGGCTTTGTGAATGGATGGGTGGGTGTGGTGGGCTGTGTGGACGAATGGGTGTTCAGGTGATTGGCTGGAAGCACAGGTGGATCTTAGCCTGAAGGACCAGTGGGACCGCATGAAGGTTCACAGTGGCCCTTGTTTTCTTCCCCCAGGTGACACGGCTCTGTGACCTGTCTGTCGAAGGGGACTCAGTGACCTCAGTGGGCTGGTCTGAACGGGTCAGTGGGGACCCTCCACTGGGCTGGGCAGGGCCATGTGGGATGGTGGTAGGACTCCCCACTCCCCCCCACCCCCCGCCACACACACAGGGCAGCTGGGGTGGCGCTGCAAGGTCATTCTGTCAAGGCCCTGCTCCAGGTTGGGGGGCCTATCTGTTGGGCACCAGGCGGGCTGGGCTGTGGAGGAGCAGAGGCCCACGGCTCTCAAGCAGCTGGGCCTGACTGTGCCCTCTGTCTGTCCTAGGGGAACCTGGTGGCGGTCGGCACCCACAAGGGCTTCGTGCAGATCTGGGATGCAGCTGCGGGGAAGAAGCTGTCCATGCTGGAGGGCCATACGGCACGTGTTGGTGAGGCCTGGCCCGGCCCTGCCTGCCCCATGCTCCCCAGGACCCGGCCGACACCTTACCTATCCCTGCCCCCCAGGTGCCCTGGCCTGGAACGCCGACCAGCTGTCGTCTGGCAGCCGGGACCGCATGATCCTGCAGCGGGACATCCGCACGCCGCCCCTGCAGTCTGAGCGGCGGCTGCAGGGCCACCGGCAGGAGGTCTGCGGGCTCAAGTGGTCCACGGACCACCAGCTGCTGGCCTCAGGGGGCAACGACAACAAGGTGAGGCCTCAGGGTCGTCCGCCGCAGGCTGGGGGGTCCTGGGATCTGGGGACGGGAGCCCTTCTGGCATAATGGGTACATATTGGGCTACTAAACCGCAAGGTCAGCAGTTTAAAACCACCAGCCATTCCACGGGAGAAAGACGGGCTTTCTACTCCCATGAAGAGTTATAGCCTTGGAAACCCACAGGAGCAGTTCTATCCTGCCCTGTAGGGTCACTCTGAATGGAAATCGACTTGATGGCAGTGAGTGTGGCCACTGGTGTCGCTCACCAGTGTCCTGGTGGGGTGTCCAGGGACTGGGGTGTCCCCTGGAGGCTGGCGGGTCTTGGGGGCCAGCCTCTCCACTCACTGCGCCCGCCCACCAGCTCCTGGTGTGGAACCACTCCAGCCTGAGCCCTGTGCAGCAGTACACGGAGCACCTGGCGGCCGTCAAGGCCATTGCCTGGTCCCCCCACCAGCACGGCCTGCTGGCGTCGGGCGGGGGCACGGCCGACCGCTGCATCCGCTTCTGGAACACGCTGACCGGGCAGCCTCTGCAGTGTATCGACACCGGCTCCCAAGTTTGCAACCTGGCCTGGTCCAAGCATGCCAACGAGCTGGTGAGGCCCGGCACAGCCTGCTGGGGGAGCGGATGGGCACCCGGCCTTGTGCGAGCCCCCAGGCCCTGGGGTCACATCCCAACCGCGTGAGGTCAGGGAGCACAGAGCATGCATCCCTCACTCCGCAGCCACCCCGGGGCCAGAGGGACAGCCCACCCCCTTGTCTCAGCCCTGGCCCCCAAATAGGCCCACCACAGATGCGGGCTCCAAGGGCTGTGACCCCCAGGTTCACAGGGTGCTCCTGCTGTGTCTCCGTTCCCCAAGTGCCCACGTCCTGGCCCACCCCACTCCCACCCAGCACTGATGAGCCCTTTGCCATGCAGGTGAGCACTCACGGATACTCACAGAACCAGATCCTGGTCTGGAAGTACCCGTCCCTGACCCAGGTGGCCAAACTGACCGGCCACTCCTACCGTGTGCTCTACCTGGTGAGTGGTTCCCCACTGAGCCCCTGGAAGTGCCCATTTCCGGTAGCCCCAGAACCTGAGGTCCCCTCACCCCACCCACCCCTGTCTCCCACAGGCCATGTCCCCTGACGGTGAGGCCATCGTCACTGGGGCAGGGGACGAAACTCTGAGGTTCTGGAACGTCTTCAGCAAAACCCGGTCAACAAAGGTAAAACGGATTGGTGGCACCCCCTTCCTCCTCCCCTAGAGCTCAGCCATTATCCCCACCACCACCACCACCACCATCCCCACGGGCTCAGCCACTATCCCCCCCACCCCCTCGGGCTCAGCAGCCACCCACTGTACCCACAGGAGTCCGTGTCGGTGCTCAACCTCTTCACCAGGATTCGGTAAACCAGTTGCCGGCACCGCCTCCCCATCCGGGACTGCAGACTGACGCGTCCAGCTCCCCGTGCACGGCCCCTCCCCCGCACACCCCTCAAGTGGAAGCAAGGGGCGGGGAGCTGGGCTTGGACCAACCCGAAGATTCCAATTAAATGCCTGATTGTGAACTGTGTGGGCCGGTGTCTGGGGTGGGGGCACGGCGAGGGACCCTGCGCCCACCTGGCGGGCACCCAGGGGCCAAGTGGACACATATCCTCAGCCCGGCCCACCCCTCAGATGCTCATGAGGCCCTCTTCCCCCGCCAAGGGGCAGCGAAGACCCCTGCACCCCCCAACGCTGCTTGTGCCCTCCCACCGGACCACCTCGGGAGGTACCTGGACACACAGCCCCCACCGGAGCCAGCGCCGCCAGCCTCCGATGCCCGCCCTTCTCTTCCCGGAGCGGCCCACCTACTGTCGGACGCCCCGTCGGATCTTGGTGCCTCTCATGGTGGAGACTGAAGGAGCAGGTTTGGTGGGGTCGTGGTCTGAACAGGAGCGGGCCCACAGGAGAGATCACTCGGCCCTGGAGTTCCCCGTCACCACCCCCCCCCCACGCATGCGGGCCACCGTGGCTGGACTGCAGGCCTCCCCCAGCGAGGCCGTGTCCCCCACCCTGACACCACCACTGCCGCCTTCTCCTTGGCCACACCCCCACCCACCAGCGGCACAGCACTAGCCCAGAGGCCGCGTCCGCCCGCCCTGCCAGTATGTACATATGTGTGTGTTGTCCTCCGCCCGCGCCTGTGTACTCGAGTGACGCCGCCAGCTCCGAGGATCTCGTGTGGTTCCGTTTCTCTCCTTTTTTACATAAGAAAACAGACCCGCCTATCCCCCACCCACTCCGTGCAACTGCCAAAGAACCGCCGGTGGTCTGGGGATGGGGACCCTGGCCCAGGAGGCTTGGTGCTGGGGCACAGGAAAGTCAGACCCTGGGAGGGGTGAGGCTATGGCTGGGCCTTAGGGGAGGGGCGGTGATGGCCGAGAGGCCCCCACCTGTGGGGCGAAAATGTCTCGTCATTAAACAAGTTGCAAAGTCACAGCTGCTGCTGTCTGTGTCCGGCCGGAGGCAGGGGTGGGCATAGACCCGAGCCCCAGAATCTGGGTGCACCACCCAGCAAGACACTCCCCCATGAGAGCTAGAACCCCCTCACTCCTGGGATGAGTCCCACAGCTGGAGAGGCTCCCACCTTCCGTTGGGGGTAGCAGCTTGGTGGCCTCGTGGGGTGGTCCTGGGAAGGGAGGTGCCCATGCCACCATCCTGCGCCCCAGGTCCTTAACCCATTGTGGGACATGCCTGCGCCCTGATTTGTGAGCCCTAGGAGAGATGCAGCTGCACCCCAAGTTGCCTGGTTGGGAGCTCGGGCCCTGGGGGCAGGCCTGTGGGGGCCATGGCCAGCACATCTAGTGTATGGTCGCCACCGAAGGCATGTGTTTCCCGTGGCGCCTGCTGACCTGGAGGCCTGAGGGGACCCTGGAGAGGAGGGGCCAGGTCAGTGGAGGGATGGGAGGCTGGCGTGGAGGGGACAGGTGGGACGTGCACACTCTAGTCTTCCTCAATGTCGTAGACAAAAAGGGAACTCATAACAGACAGGAGGGGTGGCAGCCGCGTA